CTTTCCCTTATATTTCCCTAAGAGGCAAAAAGCATAGTTATCTCTTATCAGCATGGTAGTACAAACTCCCTATTATTGACCTCCAAAAGATTGGAATGCCCTTCCCTACCTTGTCTGCCTAGCAAATTCCTAACGTATCTTTTAAGGCCAAGCTCAAATGCCACCTTTTCTGTGAAACTACCTAATTACCCTCTCACCCCTTATCATTGCTTCCTCTGGGATCTCATAGTACTAAGACTGTATTTCTATAACAGCATTTATTGTATCATGAGTTAATTGTTTGTGTCTGTCTGCTCTGCTAAACTATGAACTTCTCAAAAAGTGTGACTATTTTTTATGTCATCTTGAATCTCCAGAGTAGAGCACAATGACTGATCCCTAGTAGGTGTTCATTAAATGCTCCCTAAAATAAGGCCAAAGCAATCCTGCTTCCCTCCTCCATTTACTCCTCCCCTTCCATGCCATCTAGAGATCTCACTTGGATCCATTTGGGAATATTTTTAATAGGCCTTAGAGAACCAATTCTCCCCCTGACCTCTTTGTGATTTCCCTTGGATGGAGGGCCTCTTTGGGACCCAGCCCACTAGGTACTGTTGCAACTCACATGGGCTAACTGCTTTTCCTGTCACCCGTTACTATGCCTCAGATGGCCTAATCATACCCAATATGTGGCCCTCTCACTCTAACACTGAAGCAACTGTGGCTAAATACAAAGTTTCCTGAATTTTCAGTTGATATTAAATGCTCAAAAAACTTTGGGTCATTCTATTAATTCCTGAACTTGAGAAAGAAAAAAAAAATTATACCAACACAGAACTTGAGGGTACTCTGATAAGGTACCCATGTCTGTAAAAAGAAGCTACATCCTGGCCTAGAAATCTGCACAGACTTTGCTCACCTGGGTGACTCCTTCTTTACTCAGCTCAGCTACTGTTCAGTCAATGACTAAATCTTTCCTTAAACACTCTTGGGAAGTGGGAGTGTATTGTGTAGGGTTTTAAGGTATCCTTCCTCCTAGAGGGCTGTTGCATTTCCTTATTTTAAGTTCATTGTCTCACACTCTGGTTACTTTCCAATCTGAAATGCTTTAGGAATAGGAGCTATACACTTGCTTCTCGTACCCTAGCTGCCTCAGAAGTCAAATTCATATCAATACACACAAACAAGCAAACTAGAGCAATCCTTGCTCCTGAGCAAAATAAAAGTCAGAAGATACAGGGTATGACAAGGACAATGGCAAAGCCCTCTTCTCCAAGTACATTTTTGTAACTCCAGGTTTATGTTTGAAAGTCTATATTGATAATCCACTCCTTAGCTCCCAGTTATGAAACAAAAACCCTTGAAAGAATGAATACTTTGAGTATTTGTTATTTACACCTTGATATGGAGAAATTTCAGATTGTTTCTTAAAGTTACGCTTAAAGGGGAAGGTAGAAATAAAAAAAAAACAAAAACAAAAAAAACGTAGAGAAAGGTACAAGATACCAGCAGGATGTAGAAAATGGCAGTCTAGAGGATTAAAATGTTCTCCCTCCTCCCCAATTTTATGTAGGCTTGGCTTTGCAGAAGAGAAAAATAAAAATACCTGACGATACTGTACAAAGGCTAGGCACATTAGAGATCTTCTAAAGCCAGTAAGGACAAATTCAATTAATAAGGTGGTAGTATAAAATGTCCCAGCTGTACTGAGGTTTAGAGGACAACCAATTTCAAATCTAGAGAAACTTGGGATTTGCTTATAGAAAGATACAAGGGGCTCTTAGGAGAACCATCATCATCTTTTGAGATAATGAAAGGACAGTCATATAATCTAAACACACAGAGATCATGAACCAGAAGATAGAGGTCTCAAATTCCTTTCGTTAGCAGAGATGCCAATAATTCTCCTAAACAATGATTCACCTTAATGTTTCCTTCCTGCCCATAAAAAAGTTTGGGCTATCTATCTGGGCATTTCCTAAGATATCCAGTGCACAACTGGTGTGTGTGTGCGTGCAAGAAGATGGGGAATAACCCAGAGTATAGCTCTCTACTTGTATTTGTTAGAAGACAAAATGAACTGTGAAAGGAGCACAATAAATTACAGAGTATCATCCCAGAAGGGAAAACTGTAAAAAGAATGAGAGACCAGAGTTTGGTGGGAACATGAAAACAGAATTGCTTTTGGTGGCACATCCCCCAAAGCAAAGCAAGATTAGTCTGATCTGCTGTCTATCTCTGACCTTTCTGGATTAAATATAATGAGTGAGGTATGTGTGGGAGGATTTACACTTTTTACACTTTTGTATATTTAAAGATATGTATATATTATTTTTGAAACTAAGAAGAAATGTAGTTATAAAATAAATTGGTATAAAGGGAAAAAGGAGTAAGTATAATAGGGGAAAATCCAATAAGTTCCAATCTATGGGGGCCTAAGGAGGTCAGCAGATCATTAAAAATATATGGGAGGAGGGATCTCCTGCACCTTATTAATTCATCTTCCTTTTCTCTATGCACCGCGCCCCCTTCCTCAAGTGCCTTACTGTTTACTATTTCTATAGCACAGAAACCTGGGCTCCTGAAAAAGTAGATAGAGAAGGCTGATGCCAACCTTTTGGAATGGAATTTCTCTCTTCCCCAAATCCCTTCCTCAGTGATATCATCTCCTATTTCCAGGTTTGGTTCCATCTAACCATTACCTGTCCAGGAAAAACCCAAGTCTAAATCCCACAAAAGTTTCACCGACTATGGTCAGAAGACCCCATGGTGGCTGGGGAATCCCTAAGCCCCTCTCTAGTACAGGTAATAGAGAAAGCTGATTCTCCACTTCCAGGTCAGAGATATGGTATCCACTATAGTACACATTATTAAGTGAGAAAACAAACTTCCTCCAGATCCGACTTCTTAGCTCCTTTACAGGACTGCAAACTAAACAAGCTGAGGCTGGTACCAAGTAACAGAGAGACTGCACCCTAAACGAGCTGAGGCCAAGGAAAAGTGTAGGGATCGAGTTTGCGACAGCTAACAGTCACAGAAAAAAAAAAAAATTACTTTTATCTTCATTGGCTACCGAGGGAATATCAAAAAACCTAAAATTACCACTTCTCAACACTAATGGGAACAAGAGTGAGTCCTCCCAAATCCCAGTGCCTCCAGCCCAACCTCGAGCATTCGCAGAAACTCCCATAAGTGATACCAGGCCCTGCTTCCATTTCCCCAACTACCTTAGCCTTGTAGATTAGGAAAGCTTTCTTCGTTTGCCTCAGTTCACCCTCACTGAACCCAAATCATTCTCTCGGCTCAACTCTGGGACACCCTAGTTGTTTTTTAATACTCACTTTCCCTTAAAAAGAATGCCTCTTACCCAACTAAGAACCTTTCTGGGGCCCTTCCAATTAGACATCTTTAGAGAGAGCCCCAGCCCCGGATACCCTCCGGTCCCGGGCGTCAGGGCTGACCCCTCCTCATCTCCCGGCAGATGGGCTTACCTCACCCGCTCTCCGGCCCTTTTCCCCAGCTCCTCCCTCTCAGCGCTGCTCAATGAGGCCTGCCCCAGCCCTCACGCCAGCCCCGGGCTTCGCGCGCCGGCCGCCACCTGGCCGCCGGCCCAACCCGGCCTCACCAACTTCGGGCTCCCAGCCCGCCAGGCCCCCTCCTCAGCGCCCCCAATAGGCCTGCCGGGGCCCGACCCCCTTCTCCCCTCTCCAGTGGGCCACTCTAACCCCCGCTGAGGCCCAGACCCGCCTCTGCTCTCAGGCCAAGCCGCTCTCCTCTCCCGGGCGCCTTCGCCCCTGCCTTCTGGGCTCCATCAGCCCGGTACCTGGGGCTCCGTCTCCCCCGTCGGGCCCAAGCCTGTGTCGAACAGACAAACAGCCGCAGCTCAACCAAACCCTCCTGCCCCTCCTCCTCGTCCTCGCCTGGGGCGGGGGCCCGGGCCAATAGTACGATTACCCGCCTACCATCAAGGGTGGGTTCTGTGTGCAGGGATCCGCCAATCCTGGGGAGAAAGGCGGGTCTTTTTCGGCGCTGTCACCAACGAGGACGAGCCAGAGACCGGACAGGCGAGGCCCCAGGCCAATATGGAGAGAGAATCCTTGAAGATGGACGAGATAAGGAGCCATTGATGAGAGAGCTCCCCGAGACAGGGGACGGTACACTGTTGACAGGCGTATAGATCAACCAATAAAATCTTGACACCATCATGACCCCGCCTTTTGACTCATAAACATCTAATCAGGTGAGTGACGGAGGCGGATCAAAGTGAAACTTTAACCAGTACTACGAAAATTCGGGTCTTGAATGGCAGGCAAGGCGGGGTTTAAAGAAGCCTTTGGAAGGCCCACACTGACCTTCGCCCCTCCCCCCGGACTTGGCTGACTGTAGCGCCGCTCCCTCTACGACCAACGCGCGGGTGTAAAGGGAAATACATCTAGGGACCTGGAGCCTGGGAATTTAAGTAGACCTTACGTCGGTGCGTCTTCCTTTTAGTGGGGCCGCAGAGGACAGGAGGTTTGGGGATGGCTGGTGGGTGGTCTGAGATGTTTTTGGTGGGGTGAGACAGTGGCAACTACAAGAAGCGGTAGCTTGGGGAGGCTTTAGCCCTTTCATAATAATTTTTCATACAGACAATTGATAATGTTATGAAATTGTATTATAAAGATGAATAAAGTATCTTTAGGAAACTTGGTTGTTTGTGCTGCAACAAAAAGGAAAAACGACGAAATTACTGGGAAATGTAGTGTCGAGGTGAATTCTCATGGAGCCCACTTCCAACCATGTTGCTGCATCAAGCCTTTCCTAGTATTGAAATTCTGGAACTGCTGCCTTGAGTGTGTGTGTATGTGGTGTGTATGTTGGGGCAGGATGGTGGTGAGGTGAGGAAGATGCACGTTTATGGGGAAAGTAGGAAATACAAAGGCTTCAGTTTCTTCAGATGTGAAATGGGGTAATAATTCTCATTTTGCCCACTATTGGCACTATCCTAATTGCATCATAGAAGCCAAAATGGGGTGGGGTGGGTAGCCCTGCACAGAGACATTAGGTAAAGTGGGGGTCTGTAACCAATTAACATATATATATATATATATATATAGATATACACATTCATATATTCTCAACATTCTTTTAGTAAATAAATACACAAACATAAGGAAAGATGAACTATAAAACTAGGAACTTTTTTAATGAATTACAAACTAAATTACAATAATGTTAATAGCAAGAACACTCAAAGACAAGAGATGAGAGAAGAGAGACAATCATAAAAAGAAAAAAATACTTTTTTAAACATTTGCATTACAAAACCCCAACGTGCACATGGCAACAAATCAACCCACTCCCACTTAAAAACTACTATAACCTGAAATATAAATATAATTGTTCATCCTTCTTTTAAAGAAATATTTTTTCCCAATGTTCCCACTCAGTCACAGCCCTAAAAAAGTGTCAGCATTCTCAAAATGATGTCTAAACCCTAACTTCCACTCCTATGGGGCAGCCTTCAAAGGATGATGGGACCTGGCACCTGAAGAACTAAGGATCTTAAAAGAAAGAGAAAAATTCAAACATCTTTCACTTGCCTCAAGGCCATAATCCTTATCCCAAAGCCCCCCAGACACCCCTTGCCCATAGAAGGAATAGGGCACTGGTGGCAATCATTTCTACTGCAGTCCCACCAGGACTGTGGAAACTGGGAATCTTGAGTCTTCCAGACTGTTAGGTGAAATGAAACACTAAAACTAGAGTATAAACTGGTTGGATCTATTTTTAACCTAATTCTTCAAAATAGGCCCTCCCTATGTTTTTGTTTTGCTTGGTTTTCAAAAGTTCCAACTTACTCCCATGCGACCAGTTGGCCTAACACGGTGGCTGTGGGAGGCTTGGGGTCTCTGTCATCCCAAACACAAGAAATAATAATTGTAGTG